CGCACGACTTTGAGTATCCCCCCCCCCTCCACCGTCCGATCGATTTTGGATCTCACGCCGGAGAGTTTTGGGGTGTCTTAGCTCTAAGTACTCCACCGCCCAATGGGGGGCTTTAGTATTTATTTGTATATGCCGTACCAATAGGTATTAACCTTCGGTAAGCTTGTGCTTACTTTGGACTGTACCCTCCTTATCCTCCGGGGGAGGCAAAGAGGGGGTGGGGCGCATGGCCTCTATTTTTCGGGGGGGGTTCGGGTACTGGTTGGGGGTCGGGTCTATGTTTACTGAATTCTCGAATTGTCCCATAACTAGACTAAAGCTACTGTGAATTTTCAGTATATAGCTATCCTTACTAAACGCGTCTATGTGTCCTGCAATCTCCAATACAAATCAACCTGTGAGGTTTTAGTATGCAGCTTTCGTCACTCAATGCGTCTGTGTGTCCTGCAGTCGCAAACGTCACTCAACCCGTTATGTCTCAATGTGCAGCTATCCTCACTCAAAGCTTTTATGTGTCTAGCACTATCCGACATCACTCAACTCGTGAGGTTTCAGTATGACGCTATCCCCACTCAGTGCGTCGATGTGTCTGGCAAACTCACAAACCAATCCATTTGTGAGGTTTCAGTATGAAGCTACCCTCACTCAACACGTCTAGGTGTCAGGCAATCTCCAATCAAAATCACCTGTGAGGTTTTAGTATGTGTCTTTCTACACGCAAAGCGTGTATGTGTCCGGCACTATCCGACATCACTCAACTCGTGAGGTTTCAGTATGTAGCTATCCCCATTCAGTGCGTCTATGTGTCTGGCAAACTCAAAAACCAATCCATCTGTGAGGTTTCAGTATGCAGCTATCCTCACTCAACACGTCTAGTCTATGTGTCTGGCAATCTCCAATACAAATCACCCGTGAGGTTTCAGTATGTGTTTTTCCTCACTAAAAGCGTGTATGTGTCCGGCACTATGCAACGNACTATCCGACATCACTCAACTCGTGAGGTTTCAGTATGTAGCTATCCCCACTCCACACGTCTATGTGTCTGGCAAACTCAAAAACCAATCCATCTGTGAGGTTTCAGTATGCAGCTATCCTCACTCAACACGTCTAGTCTATGTGTCTGGCAATCTCCAATACAAATCACCCGTGAGGTTTCAGTATGTGTTTTTCCTCACTAAAAGCGTGTATGTGTCCGGCACTATGCAACGTCACTCAACTCGTGAGGTTTCAGTGTGTAGCTATCCCCACTCAGCGCGTCTATGTGTCTGGCAAACTCAAAAACCAACCCAGCTGTGAGGTCTCAGTATCCAGCTATCCAGACTCAACGCGTCAATGTGTCTGGCAAACTCAGAAACCAATGCATCTGTAAGGTGTCAGTATGCACCTATCCTCACTCAACACGTCTATGTGTCCGGCACTCCAACATCACTCAACCCGTGGGGTTTCAGTATGCAGCTATCCACACTCAACCCGTCCATGTATCTGGCAGTCTCAAACCTCACTCAACCCTCGGGTTTTCAGTATACAGCTATAATCACTCAACACGTCTATGTGTCCGGCACTCCAACATCACTCAACCCGTGGGGTTTCAGTATGCAGCTATCCACACTCAACCCGTCCATGTATCTGGCAGTCTCAAACCTCACTCAACCCTCGGGTTTTCAGTATACAGCTATAATCACTCAACACGTCTATGTGTCCGGCAATCTCCTA